CTTCGGTGTTATCATATGCAATGAGGTATTCCACAACCTGACAATCGGCAGGTGGAGCATTCGGTGCAGTACAAAGATCCATGTCAGTGGCAATGAGCTGAGCCACCTTTTGCGTGTAGTCCTGCAGACGTGGTCTCACTAGGTACTCCAGGGCCGAAAATTCCGGCGGATTATTGTCTAGTGAAAAAATTGTGCGCTTTAAATAACACCACCTAAATGAAATGGTTTTGGACGCAAACCGATGATGGATAATTTATGCAGTCATTTCGTATTCAATAATGGGTTCGTTCATTGAAAACGAAGTATTGTGCAGACACTAAGCGGGCTGATCTGAGTGGTTTTACAAAAGGCAGACAAGGGCAGTTAGTTGCTCCTGTTCTACCGTTCACTGTCCAAAGCATAATACATTACTAGAAAAGAACATGTGTATCAGCTGAGAATAATGTACACTGACGTGTTACTCGTACATAAGCTTACTGTCTCCTGTTCATATGAACTTGTGCGTGTCACCCTTTACTCACACGAAACTATACAACTCCAAATACCGCACGTATCCGCAGCATCACTGATCTCGCAATTATCATTTGGGTTTTATGTAGCAGGATATGTCTTTTCTAGGTGGTAAATCCTTGCCTACAAAACCCTCCCTATGTGTGTGTTCTGAAACCGAATTTCCTGATATTACAGTCAAAACTATCTTCCCAATGCTATGCTCTAAACAAATAGACTGGCTTACTGCCACACTAAACCCGACTTTCGCATTGGTTATCAGAATAAAGGACGCATTAACGGCGTACACGGAAGGTCACAGGTAAGGCCTTGCTTGCACGCGTTGCATCCTTTGGGTAATATGTTGGCAACTGATGATCTAAAAAGTCAAAGGGACAGAATTACAATTGCGGCAATGCTTATTTCACATATTCCACTGGCTTGTTTTTGGAGGCTCGATACGAGAATAGAATTCCACTCTAAGCTACAGAAGCACAGGCAATAAATCCTGCTTTGCTTTATTTTTACAACGAAATGTGAACAAAATTGAGCAAAACTAAAATATACTATGACGTTTGGCGTCCAAGAAACCATCAAATTTGCCACAAAACTCATTGGTTTGTAAGGCTTCCAATGCTAAAAGAAAATGAAATACATATTTGCTTCGAGACAAGGGCATAACTATACACCATTGCAGCATTGGGGTTTGAACTGCGTGAAACTCTAGTTAAATTAATTATACTATCAAAGTAAGAAAAACTGCTAAACTTTTTCCTATTATTAGCTCATGAAGAGGCCCACTTTACTTGCTGATTTATTTACACTTTGTCACCATCAACACAATCAATTTTCGCGACATATTAAAAATTTGTGGAAAGATATACCAACGACATGCCTAGTGCGATTTATATACTAAGGCTAAATGCCGTTTTTCAGTAATTATAGGGAAATAAATTGCAGTAGAGTTCTGTTGAAATGTGTTTTAACTCTCTAAAGTAGCAAGTGGTAAATAAATTGACTTGCTTGACGTATTGGCATTTATCAAACTGCAGCGTCTGAGGGCTTGAGATTAAGACGTTTGATGAAGTGCTCTCTTGAAATATTAACCAAAGCACTGTGAAATATTTCATTGGTAGTAATGAATGCTGCTGTTCCAAATCACCTCACTTTAAGTTCTAGTTCCCAATTATAACCAATTTAGAGCCAATCAGGAGAAGTCGGAACAGTGCAATTTGCATGTATCCGCGTAGTACCAATCAAAGTAGAATATTCATTGAACTGTAACAAAAGCAAACTTTTCCAACAAAATTATTGGCTGATTTTCAGCAAGTTTCTACAAATGCAGGTAAGTAGATTTAGCGCTTTCAACTTTGATAAAGATAGAACCAATGCCGAATTTCCATTTATTGGTGTGAATGTCCAGATGAGTCTAACTCACATCGGTTTATATGTGCTGTTGAGACTTTTGCAAGTCGGAATAATGCAGACAGATCAGGTGATAACAAACTAAGGACTGCTTTGACCTTGTCCATTAAGACTAGAACAACAATTTAGTTAACAACTAAAACCGCCCAGTTTAGGCTATCGAAAAGATGACGGTGAAAAGTAATCTACTTTAGCTTGCATTCCTACGAGGCGGAGTTGCGCCATTTGCATCTGCATGCACAGATGGTTTGTCTTAGTTAAATCTGATAAAAATAAATTATAACTTTGTTGAAGTAGTCTACTTGACTGAAATAGGCAAATATTTCACCCACGTGGAAATCTCTTGCCCTAACAGCGTTGTAAATGATGACCAATATTTTTTCGCAACTGTACTGACCGCTTACTAACTGTTGAAGCAGCGGAAAAAAATTATGACGTCTTTAATGTTTTAATGTCCATGCATAGAATAAGTACCTAGAAGTTCACCAACACTTTGTTAAATTTATTAAAAAAAATTGACCGGCCTTAGTTTCCATTCATTATGCAGCTTATCTTTATTGAAACAAATATTACCACACTTACAAACGTAGAACTTAATACATGTGGCATTTTGTTGTAAGATTGATTGCTTAGTCTTGTCATTTTGCAGGCACAAAAGCGTTTACATTCAAACCTGCGGGTTAATACGGACTATTGGGGCTTCGAATAAAAAAAAATGCCATTCCACGACATAAATATATTTTGCATTTTCCTACATAGAAAAGGTATAGGCGCTCATGATGTATTATTTGTTTGAAATACAGATTATTTACATTTGATTAGTGGATCTTGCGCGTGAAACACTCAGTTTGAAACACACCACCTCTTTGTAAGAGGTGCTGGAAATCGGCAGATCACTCGAACTAAAACACAGTTTGTTACCAAGCAGTGCGCATTCCATCGGAGACTACCAATGGTCTCAATATAGAGGCGAAAATTTTCAACGTAAGGTTCATTTTGATATTTAACAATTATTGCGTAGCACCTTCCGGAATACATAAATTATTCTTAAGATTAAACAACATTAATTAAATGACAATGGTAGCAAATCAAAACCACACATTAAGCAGCATAAATATCCTTATTTCTTTCGATTTTATGTCCAAAAAATAAATGATATATGTTAAAGAGCTTTTGTATGTGAAATCCTCGGTTGGAAACACACCACCTTTTTGTCGGAGGCCCTGGAACCCTTTAGGTCATCTTGACTCTGCTACCAGACAGTGCATATTCTGGTAGAAACTACTAAAAGTATTCCAGAATTGTGACCCTATTTTAAAAGCACAATTTAATACATCATTACAACATATCGTTATCGCAGAATACTTTATATATTTTTTTTCAGGAATAAAGCTGGGAATTTTCGAATGCAAATTAATGGGCTGGATAAAGTCAGCAAAGTCTGACAAGTTGGACGCCATTTAGATATTTGGCGATCTGTAGGAGTCACAGCTGATTTAAATGACGCGAAGGATCTCAGCTATACACATACGCCACGAGTGATAACACTACACATCCCATTAGTAAGCTGCTAAATCGTACATTCAAATTACCAAAGACCAACGACAGATCAGTGAACCCCAATCATGTAGAACACTGTATGGTGTTGCGAGGTAGTGGATGAAACATCGGCTAGAGGCAACAATGCCTTAAGTGGTGCTGCAAAGATCACGTGTGTGACTACATTTGCACATATTTTTTTACTTAAAAGAATATTCGAGCTAGGAAATGTTCTGCTTCCTTTTGTGGTTTCGGAAGATTTCGGAAAAACGAAAGACAGGCCCACGTGAGTTGCATAACTTCTCAGAATTGCAAAGTTTACAATGGTCCCTGATAAGCAGCAAATTTGGCAATGCAATTCATGCGAAAATGCAACTAAAGCACGCAAATCACTGTGCAGTGCTCTTGGTGCCAACCTCGTGTCTTGTCAAACGTGTAGTTATTAAAAACGCTTAATAAGTAATAATTGTGACCCAAATGATTAGCCACATTCTGGACAGACTCATAAGAGTAAAGATGGGAAACTGCAGGTTCTACGGAATAAAAACTAAACGCATCCTTAGCAAGAACCTGCAAATCATTTAGAGCTCACCCAATTAGCGCTTGCACCAAGGGATTGCGCTAAATAGGTAAATTCAAGAACTTGGAAGTCTTGCCTGAACACAAATTATGTCAACGAACGAACGCGTGCCGTTCACTGCTTGCCGGCCAGCAACGTATGAATGACTAAATGTAAAAAATTCTAACGTGTGATGAAATGCATAGTTTATGAGTAACCTGAAAAAAAGGGTCGTGGGCAGATCGCGGACACCGACGCTGTAACAGGACATCCGCATGAAGAAGGCTCTCTTGTGTATCTGATGCAACATGAATGGTGTGTTTGATCACGAACTCCCGCAGATTGTTCGTCAGAGGTTGAATCTGAATCGCTACAGCCGACAATCGAACAAACGAGGTGAAAAGCATAATTAGAAAAGGCCAGTTAATGGGCAAGCAAGCAGGTCAGTCATGCTGCTGGATGCTAACGCTCGACCTCGCTTTGATCACGCGACTCAGAAGATCCCCTTGAACGTGGGGTGGGAAATTATCCCATACGCGGCGTATTCTCCAGACTTGATCCCATTTAGCTAACATTTATACCGGTCAATGGAGCCTGTCTTAGTGGATGGGCAGTGCAAAACGCTGGACGATGTGCACAAAATTGTCGATGACTTTATTGCCTCGATTCATGCATATTTCCTATTGCCACGGTGCCTGACAGATGGCGGAAAGCAATGGAAAACGGCGGACAATTTTTTTCAAACATGTTTTCGTTGTACCCACTAAAAATCTCTACAAGTTATGTCATACATTTAATACAGAGCAATTAAATTAAATTAGCGCGTGCAATTCCCACTACTACGCATTTATCAGTGGTCAGTATTTCGCCTCTTGCTACTCCTATTGCCCACCCGAATAAAAGAACATGCAGCACAAATTCCAACATTTCATGCTCTTGATTTCCATTCTGAGTGGCGCTTATCGCACCACCACAGTTAAAGAAAATATGATTTGTCTAAAAAAAGAGACAGCCTCTCTCCAGGACGTCAGCTCGCAGGCCGATTAGGCTGACCAGCCTTAAAATGTTAAAGATCATTTGTCGAAATTGTATCACCAGGGTGGTTTGTTGGATTCCGCCAAGGCTGGGAGCTGGGCATCCCCGCATGGCTTATTATCTAAAACTGACATTAGGCAATTTGTGATTCCACGGTGTCTCCTAACGAACAGAGCCAATGCGATGAAACACTAAGGTTGCTGGTGACATCTTCCCTCGTGTATTGAGGTGGCGTTGCGGAGTTGCTTATTGAACAACTGACCTCTCCATCTTCGTATTTCACACCTTATTTGAATTGCTCGGCTTTTCTGTTGCTGTCGCGCATTAAGAGAGATCAATTACAACAGTATTTTTCCTTGGAAAAAGATTTTCTGAATAATTGTATCCCTCTGTTAAATTTTTTTAAATTTCAAAGCTGCCGTTTTTTCGGTCTTAGAATAAAATCACTCGTTAACCATTTTCTTTGAATCAGGATCTTTTTTAACTTCTAATTGGAAGTGAAATACAACAGTATGAAGTGGTTTGGAAAAGATGCCAAGTGAATTCAAGGCTGTTTGAAGTCTTGAGGCACTAGATCAAAGCACATTCTAGGTTTGTTTAACTTCAGCAGCACCTGCAACGAGTTAGTCTAGAGCATTGCACGTAATGTGGCCCAAAATGTCCCGCTTAACTGCCTGTTTCCAATAGTTATTTGGGTTTCATGCATCACAAGATTAATAGTACTAAAGAGAGGAATTGTTCAACATTCATTGCTGGTTTTCAACCACAATTTAAGTTTCAAATGGAAATACATCTTGCTCAGCACAGAGAAATTATGGGCCTGGTTTTCATACCCATGACCATTGACTGCAAGTGCGATTGATTCTGTTGCGCATATCATTAAACAACACAAATTCAACTCAACGAAAATCTTGGACTTAATTTGGTATCGAATTTATTAGTGAATGCCTAACAAATCCTCAATTCGAACCTGACAAACTAATCTACCTACTGCATGGATTATTCAACATGACTTTGTGAAATTTAGGTCCTGTATTTTATGATTTCACGCAGGTCTGACATTGACAAATTTCTGTTGTGTCGCATAGCAACACCTCAATATCAAGGCAACGTCCACTACCTCAGCCTGCACGAAATAGTGCAAGATTAACGACATCCTCAGGGAAGCAAAACACTCCCAAGTCGGAGAAACTAAGAGGCAACTACGACAAGCTATTTAAGATTTTTGCAGCAAATATCTTTAGTTTTTACAATAAATATGCATTGGGACCTTGATGAAAGATGTCGTGTCATTCACAAATTGGACACACTTTTGGGGGTGACATCATTTGGAGCAGTCTCATTTGAGCCATTTCCAAATTGGAAGGAAAGTTAGCACATGTGTGGAGCACACATGCTCTTGTTGAGGGTCCTGGCATGTTGGTTCAAGCCACAGTGGGCCAACGGCGTTGAATCTAGACCGAGGACGAGGCAAAACCTCTTGCTAGACATCTCAACCAACTTGTGTTGTCGTTTGCGAGCATTAGAGGTAGGCGATGACTCCCGTGTTGTTGTTGACTGATACAGTTGAGTGAACAGGTAAAAATGCAGACGTCTGAATGGTCACATGGATAGAGCTGGTGGTGGTGGTGGTCACATGATGAGGACTGTTACTAGGCGAGTGCAATGTGCAGTGGGCTCAGTCACAGCAAAGCCGATGAAGTGGCCTGCGTAGCGCGTGCCTGCCTGCCTGCCTCTCTGTCTACGCATTGGCAAGCACGAAGGCACGTGAAGAGGTATGGGATGTCGTTGAGACGACGGATGCAGTGTAAAGAGCAGTACAGTAGCAATTGTTGAGTCCGACGAGGTAGCACCTGCACGATGTGGCAAGGTGCCTGCTAGGTGCGTGGTGGACTGGTGGTGGTGGTTGTGGGTTAGGGTAAAGTGACCAGCCGTCTCAGTGTGGCCGCCGCCACCGCTACTTCTGCCTATCAAATAGTTCATATGCTCGTGAGCGTGTGGGTAGAGGGTGAAAGCAATATGAGTGCAGACATTAGTAATGGAGAAGGTGTGACACGGATGCACATGCTGAGACGGAGGCGATGTTGACGGAAAGAAGAAAAACCCGCATAACACACATGCTACTGACACGCAAACGCAATGCATTGGAAGATGGAGAATAAAAAGTGAGAGATAGAGGCTAAAACAGCTTGCGCACTAGTATGATTGGTAAAGAAAACAAAGCGTAAATGTGAATCGGCGAGGCAGGCTGGGAAATGAGAAGGCAATGAAAAAGAAAGAAATGGTAATAGAGAGCGTGGCAAGTGAAAATGTGGAGACAAATAGTGAGTGATTGCGAGTGCATCAAACTTACCTGCACTGGGTTCAGGGTGGTCAGCAGGGCTCTGACCCCAGGTGGAGGCTTGGCATTGCACTCCGCTGAGTTGAAGCCTGCGACGGACTCTAATCGGGTCCGGTCGGGTGCATACTTTTTGCCAGTGGGGAGCCTTCGGGCGTCCCTTTGTTACTACAACCCAACAGTCTAGCTCACCGCCTCAGTGAATCCTCGGGTTTCAACCCTCCTCCCTGCCCACATCTCACCATTATCCTCCCCCGACTACTTGGCCTGCCTTGCCCCATCTCTATCCCCATCACCTTGTCAACACTGTCCAGCAATGCTACCACTTCGACACCACCACCATTGTCCCCATACTCTGCCCTATCCTGCTCTACTACATCGGCACATCGATTAATAACTTAGGCACATTTAAGCCACAAAAGTCTTTGGTATTTACTTGTGGGACTTAGTGGGATTAAGTAAATCATTTGCTTCTGCCTTTGCTGCAAAATTCGTGGCGCAGCTTTGAATAACACACGTTCAGTGCTATACAAATTACAAACTCACTATGGTACTGGTATTGCTGATGTTCCGCCGACTGCAATACACGACTGGGACGAACATAACTTGTAGCATTGTTTTCTTAAATCTTAGGACCTAACGTAACAAATTACCAAGCATTCTTCTATTGTAATAAACGAAGAAAACAAAATAGGAGTAAATATCAGTAGCTAACACGTACGCCTACTTAAACAAACAAAAAAACATTTCATCACAACTGGAGGTATTGTTTTGCAGATATTAACAAATAGTAAGAGTAGCTTGCATTAAATAACAAATCGTCATCACGCAAAACAGAAGGTCAGCTCAATTGTTCAGATGTTGCAGCAACCTTTCCAGTTAACCACGCGTCTGGTGCCGTAGTAAATGCCGTCGTAGCAGACTAGACGTAAAATAAACAAAGGTGCTTTCAACGTCTTCATAAAACCTAATTAAATTGTTAGGATTATCAAAGACGCAATGAGCAATCCGGGTATTAAAGAGTAACATAAGGAACCCTTTGAGTGGAATATTTTTGAATGCCCGCTAAGTAGTCGTTTGGTTGGGTCACTTAAATTCTGCGTCGCTACATGCAGGTAAGTTGTCCGAATGGTTGGAATAACGTGCAAGGCCCCTTCTAACATTCATGGAATTTCATCGATAGTCCGACGTTTCTGGTTCATTGCAGTCAAACGGGAGCAAAAACATAATTGATGATGGTGAGGCGTTTACGTTTAGGTCTTACGTTTGATACTCTTAGGCACTACAGATCGACACATATTTAAAATAACTGCTTTTACGTGCATGATTTCCGTACGCTCATTAGCGTTTCAATTCAGCTTCACCGTATTTCCGTCCATTGTGGTTGCGTTTCAATCACGGTTTGAGTCCCAGATGACTGAACCGGAAATAAAAAGTGTTTCAATTAATACTTCAAATACGTGTGATGTCAGTTTCTTTTGGATTAATTTGCTGGCAAGCCTGGAATTCTGCACGGGTTTTGTACCTGCATCGTCAAACCAACAAACACACAGATGCGCTGTTTAACAATAATAGAATTCAGTT